GGGCCAGGGCTGGGCAAACAGCTGCTCCTTCTCCCCAGGGACCAGGGCCATGGGAGTGGAAGGTAAGAAAGCCATTCAGGGATTCATGAACTCTATCAGTTCTGGTTCCCGAATAAGAGAACTGGTGATAAATTCCAGTTAGAGTTAGTTATGAAGGTAAATAATGGGTTTGGGGACAAAGATTATGGCTTCAGGTAAAGAGGCTGGCAAAACTCAGAATTTCTTTTTCTTTTTTTTTTTTTTTGGTACCTGGGATCAAACTCGGGACCTTGCGCTTTCTACTCAGGCAGTCCCCAGCTAAAACTCAGAATTTCTGTCACTGCCCCAGTCATTGTCTGGGAACAATTTTTCCCCTCAGATTTAGAATCTAAGCAACTGCTTCAAATTTTGTCAACCATGAGAGTCCATTGGATTCCAAAGAATGAAGTCCAAAGGGCCTTGTTTTCTGACTCTGGACCCCCGTGGGCTCTGGATCCTTGAACTGTAAGGAAGCGCCCATCTCCCACCCCCTCCCCCTTCCCAGCCTCAGTTGCAGGTACCAGGGTAACACAGGGAGGACCAAGGTAATACTGGTAACTCAGACGCCTGCATGGGTCAGGCAGCTAGGCAGCAGTGGCTGAAGGACTGATTGGAGGGCACAAATTCAAGGGTTGCTCATTTCCACATGGGAGCCAGATCTGTGACTTTCCAAGAGAAATCAGAAATCTAGATTTATGTGAAAACTTCTGATTTCTAAATGTTGGCAATTCATATGTTAATATATACAGGGCTGTTCAAAGGAATTGTGTCTGGTGGGGGGCAGTCAGTTTACTACCTCACTAGCTGGCAGACTGTCCTGGAAGAGCATTGCACAGAGCTGTCTTGAATTTGTGACCCTACTTGGTACTCTGAGAACAGTGAACACTTGATGAATGACCACAATTATTAGCCCAAGCCACAGTGGCCTCTGGAACAGGGGCTTGTATCTGTCTACTGCCAGGAGACTTGGTGCTACCTGACTCTCCTAAACCAATGGAGCATGGGGTCTCCTGTTTGAACTGGTGAAGAGTGGCCAGAAAGTAGTAGCTATGTTCATGTCACCCACTGGGGGCAGCAGTTTCTTCACCTCTCAGCCCTCAGGTGCACCTAATAGGTAGAAACTCTTCCTGACCCCCTGTGGCATCCTTGTGAGCAGCTGGCCTCTCCATCCCAGGGGACACCAGCCTGGGGAGGTGAGGCAGGAGATTAGGGTGTGGCAGACTGTCTGGGAAGTAGGCCTGACCTGTTAATTACAGAATCCCAGGGCCCATGTGCAGAACAGTTCCCAAAGCCCTGCAGGTGGACTTCTGTGAGAACTCAAGCAGGTTTGCTGTAGGCTGACCTAGACCTGAAGCCAGCCAGAGGAGGGGAAATCCAACAGGGAAGCTGCTGTTCAGCTTTCCGCTACTGTGATCTTTCACTGTAGCCCTCTCTCATGTTGTAGGGTGTACTTCTTTTCCTACTTTCACTTGGCCCAAATAGAATTCATTTCTTTTCCTACCTTTAATAAATGTAAAACCTGGCTACTTACTGTTTGTGCTTGTTTTGTCTAGTTCTTTGCTCAAGAAGAACCTAGAAACCACCTCTAGGAGACTCCAGCACCCCAAAACCCAGTAACAGTGGGTCCCCCTTCCCCTTCCACTGTCCTATTGCTCTAGAGTTTGAATAATTAGCAGTGATGTTAATTCTCCACTCTTCAGTAAGACTTAAAATAAAAAATTTTTAGCTCTGCTGGAAGTTGTTCTTTCTAAATCTAATGCAATAAATGTCAGAGATAAGCCAGGTATGGTGGTGTACGACTATAATCCTCACATTCAGGAGGCTGAGGCAGGAGGATTGTCCTGAATTTGAGGCCAGTCTGGGCTACATAACAAGATTGTGTTAAAAAAAAAAAAGTCGGTGATAAAAGGATCCCTCCTCAGAGGTAACTTGGTAGACAGTGACTTTCCTGCGGCTTTATCCACCCCCACCCCCACTTCCCAGTTACAGACCTGACTCACCACCTAGGAGGTAGAAATACTGTTTAGTGCTCTGTCTCTCCCCTTCTTTCCTGGGGATGTTTTAAAAAAGTGTAAGGGGGTCCAGGGATTTAGCTCAGTGGTTCCGATGCTTGTCTTGCAAGCACAAGGTCCTGAGTTCAATCCCTGGTACCAAAAGAAGGAAAAAAAAAATCACCCAACAGCTTAATTCTAGGGAGCCGGGGATTTAGTTCAGTGGCTCCACCGCCTGCCTTGCAAGCATAAGGTCCTGAGTTCAATCCCCAGTACCAAAAAAAAAAAGTGTAAGGGCCAGAGAACTATATTCTAATTGGGTGACCCATCTGCAAACAGGCCTGAAATCTAACTAAAGGGGAAAACCTTCAGGGCTTAAGGGAAGACCTAACCTACCCTAATGCTTGTAATCCCAATGTCTTTAATCCTGGGCACACAATACCTGATACCTACAACTCTAAGAAAGGTTTATTTTGGCTCACAGTTTGTAGAGGTTTCAGTCTATAGTGGGCTGGCTCCAAGGCTGGTGGCAAGGCAGAGGGGCCTGGCGGAGGACAGCTCATGGCAGGGCAGCAGGAAGCAGAGGGGACAAAGGGAGATCAGCCCAGGCAGAGTGATCACCTCCTCCAAGCAGACTCCACCTCCTGTCACCTCAGGCTCTAAACTCATCAGTGAACTAATCCAAAGGAATCCACTGACGGGTATCACACCCTGTGATTCAATCACCTCCCAACAGCCCCGCCTAGGAGTGCATGAGGCTTTGGGGGGACATCTACATGTAAACCCCAACACCTAGCATTTGGAAGGCTGATTCAGGGGGGTTCCAAGTTCGAATCTAACCTAGGCTACATAGCCAGACCCTGTCTCAAAATAAAACTTATAAAAACAGGTACACTCTCTGAAAAAGCTTTCGACAAATCATTGAAATAAAATGCATTTTATTTTCTAATAAAATAAATGTATCTGTAGCCAACAGATTGAGGACAGGACACACCCTTCTGCACCTGCTGAAGTGCAGGCCCCGAGAAGCCCTTGTAGCTGCCAGTGTCCTCTCATCCAGCCAAAACCCCTCTCGTCATGAGGAGCCTCATTTGCTGCTGTTTCCAGGATGCCCATGAAGCTGCCTTATTCTCCCCTCACGCCTAAGTTCCTTCAAGGTGGAATTGCATGTTCTGGGCCATTGCTGTGGCTCCAACAGCTCTCAGGCTCCCCAACTCTGCAGAAGTGAACAGCAAGGCTGGGACAGCTAGGAGTGACCATGTCAGGGCTTCTGTTGGTGCCTCATGAAGGAGAGGCCAGAAAGCCACTTCTAGGTCTTCGGCATTCTCAGGAAATGAGCTAAGTGTAGCTGTTCTAAGGTAAGCAGTTTAGTAATGGATTACACAGAGCAGGAAACAGGGAAAAGAAGTTATCATGGATTCAGTTCTGGCTCCTTTAGTGGCCTTGAGTGATGGCAGGGCTGTTTCCAGTCACTCCTGAAGCTCACACCCTTGCTCCCCCGGACAAATCCTTCAGGGCTCCCCTGTGGAAGTGCCAGGACACAGGATCCAGCCTGACAGCAAGTGCCTGACCTCTAACCTTTCGGTCTCTGCCTCAGCAACTCCATGGGGTGCGTCACCTCAGACTGCTACTCTCTCCCCAGTGCCTCTTTTGTTCACTCAGATCGTGGGCAGACGATGGGGCTCCATGTGGCTCCTCACTGTCCCTCCTGGCCTGGCCCCTCTGTACTCTGCAGTGACGGCACCAGGGGTGGCCTGGAGCCAGAGGCCACATTTCCCAGCCTCCTTCCCCTAGATGTGGTCATGTGGCTCCAATAGCCAGAAGGGCGACTGCCGTGGTGCTGTGCAAAACTTCTCCTAAGTGCTCTAAGAAGGAGGGCAGGCTCCCTGGTCTGGAGCCTGCTGGAGGACAGAAGACCTGGGGCTTTCGCTGCCATCTGAGTGCACCCCAACTTTGGGAGAGGAAGTGACACCTGGCAGAACCACAAGATGAAGCCCGGCCATGGTCTATGATACTGTGTTGGGCCATGTCTGCCTCAGATGACTATTCCATCTGAACACAGGAGAGAAGCCAACTTTCTTGTTTAAACCACTATTGCTTTGATGAGGTTTGTTTTTTTGGTGGTACCGGAGTTTGAACTCATGACCTTGTGCTTGCCATGCAGGTGAGGCACCACTGAGCTACATCCCCAGCTCACCACTATTGCTTTGAAAGTTAAGAATCAAATCCAACTGACCCCAATCTAAATTAACACCCTCTGCCATCCCCGCCCAGTTTCCAAGGTCTTCTGAGCACGGGCGCCTCCCGCATGGCTGCTGTGGAGCACTTTTCCTGGGTTCCCAGCACTGCTCCTTGGCCTGTCTCCTGCAAGGCCGCAGGGAGTGGCCCAATGTCTTCTATGTTTCTGGAACTGCTTGCCTAGCATCCCCAGTACTCAACAAAAACCTTTAAGGTCCAAAACTAAGGGGGTTGGGGGTGGAGAGTAAAGCATGTGCCCAGCATGTGCAAAGTCCTGGGTTCCATTCCCACCACCAAAAAAGAAAAAGACCAAAGGTTTCCCAGAAGAAAGCAGAGAGCACTCAGGTGCTTTCCAGGTCAGGGAGAGCCAGAGAGCAGATGCAGGGCAGGTCTGTGCAGATCCGTGGCTGGGTGCCAATCCCTGTCCCCAGAGCTGTGTGCTTCACACACGCTGCTGTCCTCTCCTAGGAAGATGGTCCAGGCGGCAACATTCTCAAAGGAGAACCGTGACCTTTAAGAGCTAAGAACCTCTGCATCGGAGCAACTGCTGTTAAATCATTTTGTAAAGCTTGAAAATCACTCACTTGCTTTCTAATAAGGATCTTATGGAAAGTATTAACTTTCTCAATTTTCCCTGTCCTGGAAAGTAAAGAAGTGCTAACATTTAAAATGTGCTTGCAAATATTTTCCTTACCTGTTACAAGCTCCTTTGTAAAAATATGATGGTTAACTGAAACAAATATTCTAAAAATATTTATCACGAAAACAGAAGATGTGTTTATTGAGCTGCGGTCTTTTTTGACCACTCAGCTTTAAGCACATATTTGGCTCCAGTGGTGGACGAAGCCTAAAAACCGGCCAGTGCTGGACTCTGAGAAAGAGGTGCTGGTCACCAGCTTCCAGCTGGGTGGTGGGAGAGGAAGGCCGTGTGCTGTCCCCTCAGTGAAGGCCTATCAGTACCAGGTCAATAACCAGCGAACTACTTTCATCTTACTTCAAAAAGGGATATAATGTGCATTTACCATCATTTAATAAATCAATTTTAGTTAACTCACCATCCTAGAAAAACCAAACATAAAGACATGGACATACTGGAGAACGAGTGTGCACGTGGCAACTGGGCTGTAATTTAAATGTAACACAAGAAGGAAACTAAAATTACTGTTATTTATTGCTGTATCTCTGCTTTCTCAGTCTACCTGTATTCTAAGTAGCTACAAGTGCCACCTTCTTCTTTAAAACTGTGGAACATTTCCTTTATTTTTCTTTAAATGCCATCTGAATGGTGGACGTATAAAGCAACAGCAGCAGTTACAAAATGTTGTCTGAGTGATCCAAAACAAGGATGTGTATAGGCTGAATAAAAAGATGTTCAATGAATAGTGCACACCATGTAACTTTAACAAACATCTTCAATTAAAATTTCTGTGTAAACCTTAATAGAGATGTGACTCACAGAGACCAAAAGTAAAGCATCTTTCCTTTTACAGTTTAGTGGTGTGCACTTTTGCGAACGGTTTACAAACTCCAAGAAATGTTGCGTGTGAGCACTAGGCGTGAAGTATTTCATTTTTGTACAGAAGGAGCAGCAGGGCACAGGGAACCTAGCGGACCCCCTGGCACCTCTTTTCCCAAAGACGCACACCCCAGAATGGCAGTGGGTGCCTGGTGACAAGCCACCCTTCCAATTTTTTGGTTGTTTGAAATACAAGCACTTTCTGATGTTTCCTTCCTTGTGGTGGACCCCACCCCAACTTGGCAGGATACAAACCCACATCATTTTGCTTATTTTCTCCTTAGAATTATTTACACGATGCCTACAGATACGGTACAAACTAGTATGAAATTAATGATAGTTTGCATTTCCAGACAGCTTCCGTGGTTAAATAAAGACACCACGCCGGTTCTGAAGAACGGTTCAAAGTTAAGGTGACTCAGATGCATTCCCATCTGTGACGGCAGACACAGGCCTCTCGCTGGCTGGGGCGGAGTCCCCCACTCTGTCCTCCACAGTGGTGGGGGCCTTGGGAGCAGGGGACGCCACGTCCACAGTGAGTGCTGTGGCCTCGTCTGCCCTTGCAGTAGTCATGACGGGGTTGGAAGGCAGGCTGCCGGCAGGCGGGAGGGAAGACAGCAGTTCCCCCGAGCTGGCTGCAGAAGAGCCGTCTGGAACCAAGGGGAATGATGACAGGAACTCGGCTGGCATGGGGATAGGTGCGATGCCAGTTAAGTTTCGAGGAGGCAAGGCAGGAAGAGGTGGCAAACCTAGGACAGAAACAGCACAGGTCATACATCCTCCCCACACTAAAGAGCAGTTGCTATGTGTCACAGCCAAAAGACTATCTGTGTCTCATTAAGGATACCGGAGCTAAGGACAGGACACAAATCACAACCTTTGCTCATCTCTAGCTGGAGGCCGCAGCAGTTAAATATGTATCCTGTGATAGCAGCCAGCTATAGCAAAGGTTCCCAGGCATTGAGGCTCCCTGTGACTCGCTTAGAACCAAGGGAGACAGGCTCAGGGGAGAACAGGTCCTCCCAGACTACATGGACAGCTGCTCACCTGGCAGCCAAAGCCACACTGGGCATGGGGCAGGAGGGCTCCCACTTTCCCAGACAAGCTGCTGACCTCTGGCTGCCCTGGCCGGGACCAGAAGGCACGTGCATGGCCAATCCAGGGAGGGCTGTGGAAGGAGGGCGTGGGAGCAGCCCTCACGCAGCCCAGCCACAGGTACAGTATCTGGGGAGGCCCTGGGATCCATGACTATGTGTACTACCCTTGGTGGGCTTATTCTGATGATTTCACAATGCAGAAAGGACAGCAGTACATCAACGAAGAAAGCAGGCTGTAAACAAACATTCAGGCAACCGCTGCCTAGAGAAACCAGGCTCTTAGAGCCTGCTGAATTTGGAGAAAGGGAAGAGGAAGAATTAAGAACACAGAGCTCAAAAGGTAAGAAAGACTGAGTGCCATCACAGTAAGTGGTAGTAGTCTGAGCTTCCTAGGACTTCCTCAGTGCTGGAAACTGAGTTAGTGAACATGTACGTATGGTGTTACATGATGGACAGTTACAATCCAGATAGAAGTGCCACCGTGACAGCGACCACTGGGTGCAGAGGGTCTCATGCTAGCATCACTCTTGGGCCACCTCAGACAGCACAGCCCACTTTGTAATCCATGATTCTGACAGCAGGTTTGGGAGGCAAAGCTGCTTCATCTTCATCGCTGCAAAAATCGAAGGGAGCACACTCTGCACATCTGCTCTCTCCCCTCTTTGCAGCTAAAATCTCTCATAGTGTTTTATTTATGAAAACACTTTTCATGATGGGGACTATTTATCAAATAATAAGCTCAGCTGGCTGAGCAAGGATGACCGATTCACAGCCCAAGTCTCTGGCCTGGGCTGAGCAACACGGGCACCATTGCTGCCCTGCTGGCAGCTACCCGGAACACCAAGAGAACTACAGGGATTCATTCATGCCTACTAGGCAAACCGTGCCCCACTTCACTGTGCCAACTCACTGTGGCAACGCTTGCCGCTGCTCTCTGCTCTCTCAACTGGCCTTCCTGGTGCTTGAGTTGTCAGGGTGCAGGGAGAGAAGACGGAGGGAGGAGACAGAGGAGAATCACAAAGATATTCTTTCCTCCTCTTCATTTTTAAGCTTTTTAAATAAAAAGATTAACATTTACCTGAAGTGGCTGAAATGTGCTACACGGACTTGCCCTTTCCAGATAAAAACTGAACTATAGGACTGGCTTTCCTGATTACAGCTTTTCCTGCAGGGGCAGATGGGCACCATACCTGTGCTCCCGAGCTCTGGTAAGCCAAGCCCTGGCATGAGGTGCGGCGTGGGGAGGTTGAGGTTGGGGAGGCCGGGGAGGTCAGGCAGTCCTGCAGGCAAAGGCATCAGACCTGAGCAGGGGCAGAAAAGAGCAAAAGAGAAACCACTTCACCTGGGGGAGGAAATAAATAAGTCCTGTGTATTGAGAAACATGCCACCTACTTCAAAGTGTAACACCAGGTTTCTTCATGAGTGGCAGTTTTGTACCATAACAGCATTAACAGCGCAAAATCTCACTCAACTGAAATATGTTCCTATGCCTAAGTGATTAGATGGCTAAAGGGTGAAGATTAAAATAGTAACAAATACTCTTAAACTCAGGAACAAGAATGATGGTGGCCCTAAGTGCCTGAGAGAAAAGGCTGATTTATTTCAGCAATTACAGTGGTAAACGGAACTGAATTTTTCTTTGATGGCTGAGGTTGGTGGCCTCTATAGCTTTCTTTTTGATTCTGGAATAACTTCAGACTTAACAGCTGCAAAAGTGGTGCCAAGAATCCCCACACACACCCATCATGCCAGTTCCCCACATGTAGCACTCACTATGCTACACCAGTTTTGCCATTCTGCCAACGTGTGTGTATGCTTGGTTCATGGCTCAACATCCCCGAGTGACTACATCTTTAGCCGTACAATTAAAGGGCCTTGCTGTGAAAATATGCTTAATCACTGAAATAATATTTGTTTGTTGTCAACTATATGAAGAGACTTGGTTTTCACTGGGAACAATTAAGAGAAATATACAAAACTTTAACGTTACAGCTACTGTAGACCCAACTAAGGAACATTTTCTTCCAGGATATTTAGTGAACAACAATCAAAAAGTTCCAACTAAGGAGGCTGACTTTTGCTTACTCCTTATTCCTGGTTCGGGCAGCCTTGTGGGAATGGGGATAGGGGTTGTGCCGCACAGGAGCTGGGACAGGAGCCCTAGGCTGCCGCTAACTAGCTGCTAGTTAACATCTCTGTTTCTCTGATGATTAAAAGACATAAACAGTCACTACTTAGGTGTCTGAGACATTTTCAGATGCAAACATTATCATGACACACATCTGTATGCTCTGCTGCTTACCTGGTAATGTAGTGGCTGGATTCACTGGTGGCACAGAGGCGAGGGATTGGTTTACTTGTGGTGGCAACAACGGCACTGTTGGTACACCTTAAATAAAAGCACAATATTTAAAAAAAATTTCTAACATGTGCAGCCATCATGGAACAGACTAACAGGACACTCTTCAGCCGCTCCCGCCACAGTGGCCAGGTCTGCTTTGGTTCCCACTTCTGGCCACATTTCTGTATATGCACCAGTCTGGATATGCACCAGAGCGATCCACCTTCTCTGCCACAGCAAGGACCTTATCCACAGCCTGGTTAGGGGGGTGGGACCAGGCCAGCCTGCACTCACAGTGAGATCTCATCTAACAAAACAAAACAAACAAACAAGACAAAAGAAAAGGGCGGGGAGACTGGGCAACCCTGCCCCCCCAGGCTAAATTCACCTGACAAGAGGCTTGCACCCCATTTAAGTGGGTCTGGATTAGGAAACTGTCTTAGAAATTTGGAAATGGGATACAAAGATTCTAGCCACTCTACCGGGCTCCTGAACTAAGGGGCCCTGTAAACCCAGGCTTGCTGGGGAACCCTCCACTCGGTGAAGCAGTGAGAGCTGCGCTGTGAAAGAAGACAATGACCTAGATACCTGAGGAAGACAAGAGCACATGGACCTCTAGCATGGATAGCATGACGCTCCTGAGTCTGTTCCCTTTGGCCCTGGGTTCGACAATACTCCTGTGCAGTCTAACACATCCCCATCTGCATGATGGTGGTGAGAGGTTGGTTACATTCTCCATATACCAGTGACCCTCAGGACACCACCTGATAAAACAGCTATCTATCAAGTTTACTGCCTACTCAACTGGAAGGTTTTCTGATGTCAAAACAATAGTAATACAAGGCAAGCAACCTTAATCTGAAAACCCCAAAATCTGAGATGCTCCCAAGGTTGAAAATAAGTAGAAAATTCCACACCTGACCTAATGTGATGAGTGGAAGTCAAAACACAGGTGCACTGAAAATACTGTATAAAATTCCCTTAGGCTATGTCTATACAGTGTATATGAAACACAGATGCATTTCACGTTTAGGTTCCGATTCTGCTCCCAAGATATCTCATTATGCTATTTCCTTAAAAGCAGAAACACATGGTCCCCAGCAACTCCAGGTTTACAGGGCCAAATAAACACTTCCTGTCTCAAGCATTTCAGGTAAAGGAGTTCAAACCTTATCATACCCTTACAGATCTCTTAAAGATCTGCTTAAATATGGTAGCAGAAAAAAAACTGTGCCTGATGTATTTCAAATATCAGAATAAATCCAAAGCTCCTAAAACTATACACAACTTTTCTTTTTTCTTGGTTGTACTGGGGATTGCACTGAGTTACATCCTTAGTGCTTTCACTATCTTATTACTTTGAGACAAGTTCTCACTAAATTGCTATATTGCCTAGGCTGGGCTGGAACATGTGATCCTCTTGCTTCACCCTCCTCAAGTGCTGGGATTATAGGTGTTTGCCATCATGCCTGGCTGATACTCAACATTTTCTGAGTGTCTCTCTACTTTTGAGAGTTCTTGGCTTTTGTCAGATTTTCAAAAAAGTGGGATGGATGGTTGATGTATTATTCCAAGTTTTTTGGGGGGCACCTATTATATATTAGACATTGTACTAGAACTGAAGTTCTTTATACCTTGAAGGAACAGAAATCACTGCCTTCATGAAATTTACATTCTAATGAGGGGCAGGAAAGGAAAGAAGATGGATTATCAAATAAGTAAAATATATAGCATGTAAAATACATCCTCTGAAGAAAAATCAAGGACAAAGAGGGGACAGAAAGTGTGAAGGGGTACCAAAAAGGTCACAATGATTAATGCTATTTCCAAATATATCTTTATTTTAAAAAAATTTAATAATCAAAACCTTTCAAATCTACAAAGAAGTTTAAAAAGCAAACACCACTCACTGTATCTCTACAGTTATTGCTTGGGCTACTCTGCAAGCAATGTACTATAATTAAAAGTGAGGACGGAAGAATAAATGTCTAACAAAAAGTTGTTTCTCATGTCATGATGCTAGAACACTGTAGTCTTTTAAGATTGATTTACTCAAAAGTGAAGATGTCAATTTCTTTCAGTCTCCCGTGAGCAGTTACTGCTTTGTTTGCCTTTCAGTCTTTAATATTCAAGAAGCCATTCCATGGCAGTGTAAATGCCAGGGTTCTCAGTGCATTGTGGGTAAGAGGATACAAGTGTAACTACAGTGTAATGAAGGAAGATTAAAAACGTCACATAGAAACAGGAGATGTCAGCTTGGTCTTATCATCAAAAGAGCTATTATCATATGGCATCTGCAACACTCTTATTCTAAAATAGGTAAAAATTATTCCACCACAGGATGGCCTGTTGCCTTGGGAAGTACTGCAGCCCACCTTTACCAAGTCTTTTCAGGAATAAAGTAAAAGTCCATCTGATGGGATGTAATAAAAACACCTTTATATCATAAAAGGACTGCTTGAATGAAATAAACTCTAAGAGCCCTTCCAATGGTGTCTATGATTACTGATATTAATATTTGATTTCATTTAGGAGGTGTTTTAAAACTAGATTGTGGTAATGACACAGCTCTATAAAATTACTAAAAGTCACTAAAGATCACTGAGTTGTACACTTGCAGTGAGTTAATTTCATGGTACACAAAATACAGTATACCTCAATAAAGCTGGGCAAGAAACCAGCAAAGAAGGGGTAGTTCTGATGACTGGTGAGGTGGGTCATGGGGCTTCATTACACTCTTCCTTCACTGCCGTGTATGTTTGAAATTTTAAATTTTATCTAGAAAAAATGCCCAGCATGAGCACAAATATATAAAAGAGCTCAAATTTCTGGGCATGGTGGCACACACCTATAACCCCACATGCGGGAGGCTAAGGTGAGAGGATCTCTGTGAGTTCAAGGCCAGCCTGAACTGAACTACACAGAGACCCTGTCTCAAAAGACAAAAAAAAAAAAAAACCCAATCAAACAAAAAAATTACATATACTTCACAGTATATGAGTTAACTAGCTAAAATATGTTGGTATTTCATTCATTCACTCATCATTTGTTGATTACCTGATATATATTCTTGGTATTATGAAGAATGAAAACCAGAAAACAGGAAATTAGAAAAATGGAAAAATAAAATTCACCAACATACTAAGTTAAGAACTGTATCAAGACTTAATAATTTCGCTCCCGGGTATATAATGAAAACATGTCAATATAAAAACTTGTACACAAACGTTCATGGTAGTGTTATTCATAAAAACCCAAAAGTAGAATACATCTTAAATATCCATCAACTGAAGAAGAGATAAAAAAAACATGGTACAACCAGATAATGGAACGTTGCTTAGCAATAAAAATGAACTGTTAATATATGCTATGCCGTCAGTGAGCCTTGAAAGCATGCTAAGTGAAGTCAACAGGTCAAAAGACCTCATATTTTGGTACGTGCCCAGACTGGGCAAATCCATAGACAGAGAGCTGATCAGCAGTTGCCTGGCTCTGGGAGGCTGGGGAAAAGTGAGCAGTGACTGAAGCTGGGTAGTTTCTTTGGGTACAATGAAATCATCCAAAATTGACGGGATTGAGGTACTGATTGTACAACTCTGCAAATACACTAAAAAGCACTGAACTGTATACTTTAAATGGGTAAATGATAGGAATTCTATCTCCATAGAGCTATTTTACAAAGAATGAAAATAGTCGGGCGAGGTGGTGCACACTTGTAATCCCAGCACTCAGGAGGCTAAGGCAGGAGGATCCCTGAGAGTTAGAGGTCAGCCTGGGCTACATAGTGAGTTCAAGGCCAGACTGAATTGTCTAGCAAGACCCTGTCTCAAAAGAACAAAATAAACAATCAAACAAACAAAAACTAAACTAAAATAAAAAGAATGAAAACCAACAAAAAGGACATCGGGAAGAACACAGAATAAAGGAGAGAACTGGGAATATGTGCCCTGAGTAAGCTGAACCCCTAAGAATGGAACAGTATCCTGCTTACTTCTGCAACCCCTGTGCCTCCTACCAAGGAAACAGGCACTTAGAGCTGTTAGAGAAATGAGAGGCAGAGGCCTAACTCTGTAAGCTGTCCAGTCTGAGAGAAGCCTGGGTCTAAGTTATGCAGAGAACAGGTTTAAATGCTGACCTGTGTGTATGAGCATAGTGTTTTAGTACCAGGTTTCACATAGGTCCCGTCTGTCAATGCAGAGAGTATTTACAGCTTTCAAGGCACACTGGCACTCCTTTATAAAATTCCATACAAGAATGTCATGTAAGACAAAAGAGCTTGGAAACAGAGTAAATATTTCTGCCTACCTGTATTGAGAACATTACTGACAGCTGGTGGAGTTGGGCTGATAGAAAGTCCAGACAGACCCTGTTCAATTCCTGTAGTTCCCGGTGGTGACAAAGATGGGGGATTGACTGAGGACAGCTGGACCTTCCAGAAAAAGGGGAGAAACAGGAAATCATTTAATTCATTAAAAGAGTATATAAATCATGGCTCTTACCTGTCCTTCACATCCATACTTGGATCGTATACTAGCTGTCCAAGGTTTCCCCCGGCACTTCTACCCCAGGCACTGCTTGCTAATGTTGACACACATCCGGGAACTATGCACTGGAAACAGCCCTCTGTCCCATCACTTTCCTGCTTTGGACACGGCTGCTAGGCCTGGTTATATATGCTCATAGCAGGACAGTCTACTCTCTCCTCCTTCCTAGTCATCCACAGATCATTCTGTTTCAACCCTTAAACACCACTGCTTCCCTTTCTGAATTCTCAACCAGTTGCTTAAAACAAAACAAAACAAACAAAACAAAACAAAACAAAACCCCAAAAAACCCCTTTTCATTGTTCATGGAAGAAATCAGCTGAAAGTCTTAATATCATGATACATTTCTTAAAAATTCATAGGATTTCTAACCTCTTGGATTCATTAGCTCTTTTCTCATCCGTGAATAACTGTTCTGGGAGTGGAGTCTGTGAACTCTATGGATGGTGGTGTCACTTCTGTATACTCCAATTGCTGCCAGCTTTAGTGCCCTTGGCTGTGTTCCAACAGCTCATATTTTGCGCCTTTCCCTAGCTGCCATTCTACCCTCCAGTCTTCTCAATCAACCCTCAGAGGCTCACCAGGGCAGAGTGCACTGAGTAGGGGCAAGAGAGCCAGAGGCGGAGTTGGAGCGGTCATTACACTGGCTCTGGACCTACACCCACGGTGAGGGTGGGGAGTGAGGAGCTGTGAAGCTTTCGGTAGCTTCACTTCCTCAGTGTTGGGGATGGCCAAATTGTGTGCCAAAAATGACAGTGGCAACAGGCTCACCTTTACATTTTCTTTTTGGGTTTTTATCATGTTTTCTTATCTAGCCGTGCAGACAAGAGATAACTGTCCTGGGATGCTGCTACAGGAACACGTTAACACCCTGGAGGCCTACACAAACATCGGGCTCTCCTCACTTCCCCATGAAGTCTCCCAGAGAATTGAGCATTGCTACCCTCCCCTTACACCCTCTATACATTATGTCACCTGCCATTTGGTGTTAGCTGCCCATCAAGTCTCTGGAATGGCTCTTGCTGAGGACATCTTTCTACTCCGGTCACCTGACTTCCCTGCAGCACCTGATCCTTTTCTTCAGGTGTCATCTCCTTCTGACCTTCTCCTGAGGTACTTTACTGCATCTTTCACTGCCCATCTAGGTTTTCAAGATCCAAGCTTGGTCCTCAAACCCACACAGGCCCAAGGGCTTGACAATTTTTATCAACATTCAAATTAACCTCTCTGCTCAGGATTTCCAAGTTTGTGTCACTTCCCCTCTGCTCTTTCCTAAAATCCAGGTTCACATATCTAAACTCCACCCAGATGTCTTCCAGAAAACTCAAACTCAACATGATGATCAATATTTAATTCATCTCATCTGCCCTATCTGTTTCTACCCCTGTATGCACCAACACATTTGACTTGTTTTGGTGGAAACCATCAGGTAGTAATCTTACCTCTGTAAACCCATCTTTAAGAGGAGTAACAGGTGTACCAGTCATTTGTCCTGGAAGAGAAATTTTCTTTCCTTCTTCAAATGGGCGTGTAGGTATTCGATGCAGATAACCATATCCAATGCCACATCCTAGGCTATAAAAACATTTTTTCTTAAAGGTATTATTACCAATTACAGTTTACATTTGAGGTTTTGAAATAAACAAACACATATATATCCATTCTTTCAAATAATGCTATGTTATTAGGTCTCTACTGTCTGCCTTATTTAATACAGCATGTTTCTCTCTAACATGGACACTACCCTTACTTCCATTTCTCTGTAAACATTTATCACTACTTAACACACTGCATATTTATTTGTTTACTGTCTATTTCCTTCAATAAAATGCTAAGGCCAGTAAGGGCAGAGACCTTGTTCATTTACTGACTAAGCAATTCCTGGCACATGACTGACACTTAATCATTTGCAGAATGAGTGACACACAACTGTCCACTGAGGAGCTCTAAGCACTTTTCCATGATATCATCTACACATCCCATAGTTCTATTTCAGAATGCGACACAAAGCAGTCATGCATATTTAATCCAGATTTCTTCTAATTCATCCTCTATTGCTACCAGAAGCATTTTTCTAAAACGATGTGATCATACTGCTTCTTCACATTCCCTTTTCCTTCTTCCCTTTGGGGAGTTACTTCTCTGTCACTGTGTGCAGTACTGGTGGGACTGTCAATCAAGGTGACTGCCCTGCTCAAGGGAGCAGCTTGTGGATGAAGCCAGGCCAGTCAACTTTTCTTGACCAGGACTGCAAATCTTAAAAGGAACAGAAAACCAAAAAAATGGCTTCATCCCTTCTGTAGAATGTTGACAGAATTGTCAATTAGCTCTTCTTATCTAAATTCCTAGAGGTATTCTAGTCCTGCTCTTTCCACATCTGGTTCTTTAGCTGTCTCCTTAACTATATGAGCTAACCCACATCAACAAGTTTTTGTCTACTTAAGATAGTGACAGCTGGTTTGTTTGTTACCAGAGCGCCTACTGATATACTCAGAATATAATATAGCCTCAAAGTATGTCTAAATACCTAACCATGGTATTTAAGACTTTCTACAATTAGGTTTCTAAGTATGGAAGCACATGCCTATAATTCTAGCTACTCAGGAGGCTGGGGCAGGAACATCCTAAGTTTTAATGTCTGCCTAGGCAACTTAGTGAGACCCTAAGATCAATTAAAAGGGCTGGGGGTGTGGCTCAGTGGTAGAAAGTGCTTGGGTTCCATACCCAGTACTGCTCCCCCAACTACTGATTTTAGTATTATAGGTCAATTCTTTTTTTCAAGAAAAGTATTATAATAAATAAATAATATTTCATGGCAAAAGTAATCAATGTTCACATCTGACTGGTAAGTTAAGCACTCACAACTTAGTATGAAAATAACCACCGTACCTGCCTTCTCCACCCCATGCAGAATTTGGCGTAATAATCACTTCTCGACAGTTATCGGTGTCTGTGTTATACACATAAAGCTTCAGTGGCTTTGCTTCATGGGTTTCGATAAGGCTGAACAGATCTTCAGACTACAAGAGCATCAGAGGACAAAAGTGTTTTTAAGGTACCGTACTTCAGAATGGTGGATCGAAAACCTGGCTAGTATCAGTATCACCTGGGCAACATCTTTGAGAAATATGGGTTCTGGGCCCTGGACCCTTCCCCAGATGAATTTTCCACATGAGGTTTAAATACACAATACAGTGTATTAATTCAAACAAGGTCACCAGTTGCAAGGCCCTTAGCTTCATTCTAAGAGGCCCAGCTGACATTCTCAGACTCTTTCACCCCAAGTTTTGGTTTATTTTCCATTATTAAAATCTGAGTACCTTATTTTCCTCTCAGTTTCGACTTAATAATGTATACTCCCACTAGCTAACAGAGGAGGAAAAAGATCTAACAACTGAGATAATTTTGTCACCTTAAAAAGAAAAAAAGAGAAAATGAAATCAATGACCAAAATGAGGATTTGATTTAGTCTTGAGGTGTCTAAGAGATTTCTGTATATCACACACAAAATTTGTATAAACGCCACACAGTATGTGGTTTTTCTCACAGCCATACCCAATAAAATACGTCCCAGAAGTTTCATTTAACACAAAATCTAAGCTACCTTGATGAGCAAAAACCAAGATTTCAACTCTTAATGCAAAGCATGCAAATATCCTCCTGAATTTAAACATCAATGAGAAAGCTAGCATGGTGGCAGATGCCTGTAATTCCAGAACTCTGCAGACTGAGGCAGGAGGATTGCTGTGAGTTTGAAGCCAGCCTGGTCTACATAAGTGAGTTCAAAGCCAGCCTGAGCTACACAGTTAGACCCTGTCTCAAAGGGCCGGGGATTTAGCTCAGTGGTTCCACCACCTGATTCGTAAGTGCAAGATCACAAGTTCGATCCCCTACCCCCCCCCCCAAAAAAAAAACCCAAACAAAACAGCCAGGGATTTAGCTCAGTGGCACCATGTCTGCCTTGCAAGCACAAGGTCCTAAGTTTGATGCCTGGTACCAAAAAACAAACACAAAAAACAAAACAAAACAAAAAACCCATCAAGGAGAAAATGTTGTATAATAATTAATGAACACTGATTACCTCATTCATGACTGTATCTGCTCCAATGATATAATCACTGTGAGGTCTAAGACCCGCCAGTGCTGCAGGAGAATTTGATTCCACTTCCTAGGATGACATCAAAGCATGCTCCCAAATTAATAAAATACATACATATGGATATCTATATCTGTATCTATCTACTCTTCCAAGTTTTACAGTCACAGTTCTTAATTACAGTGATTTAAAAAACATCCCTAAATTTCTGTCTTGTAAGAGATAATGTCAGATGTAAGAAAGAAGAGAATATATGTATTTAAAACTTCTAAGCATAAAAACCATGTAATATATAATACTTAAAATATTTCTGTAGCTATTTGCTTTAATCTTTTTCTAATGGACAAAGCATTAGAAAAGGAATTCTTAGACTTCTATATCTGCTTCTCTTATCAAGGTTTTTAAAAAAGTTAATTCATTATTAACAAGCAATGAATGCTGATTTTTAACAATAGTCTCCTTACAATATCCCCAACCCAGAGATGAGCACTGCTGCAGCCTCTTCCCGTGCTGCTTCTTACTATGCAAGTAACTGTTCCTGGTCCACACCTACCAGCACATGCCAAACGTTTTCATTTGCCCCATCAAAGCTGCAGAAACGAATGCTCACGCCCAACAATCCCTGGCCACCCCACATGTTGCTGGGTGTGACTGATGTCTCTCGCAACTCCAGGGTTTTGCTGCTATAAATGAGCATTTTTACAGGCTTTTCAACATTTGCTTTCAGTAGATCCTTAAGAGTGTCATTGTCTTTATTCTGTGGATATATAGAAAGTATATTCCCTAATAAATAAAAACAGTATTAACTATTTTTAGCATGAGCATCCTATATCCCTAAAAGAGTAATATTAATAATCAACATAAAAAAATTGAAGGCTGGGCATGGTGGCACACTGTCATCCTAGCACACAGGGAAACTGAGGCAGGAGGGCACCAAGTTTAAGCCCAGCCTGGGCAACTTTGGGAGACCCTGTCACAAAAATAAAAAAGGGCTGGGGTTTGATTCTAGAACCACACACACACACACACACACACACACACACACACACACCCAGAACAACTCTTATATTCACAACTGACCTTTCTTCTAGTAGCTATGGATTTTCAGCCCAACATTATTTAGCATGATAAAGGGCTTCAGTGATTGAAAACGTAACATTCCATAAGAAGTTATATTACTACCAAATTTGGAATGACTCTGATTTTTAAATCTAGAAGATTTGCTGAGGTTTAATTTTGGACTCTACTTCTAAAGATACACTTCATTATTTATTAGGAACTAGAAGGAAAAGAAAATGGGTACATAATGTTAAATATTTCATTACATAAATGAATAAAAGCCATGTCAGAGATGTTGATAAGTAATGAACAAAAACTTAAAACTGTTATAAAAAATAAACTAGCTTATAACTACTTAGTCATAAGAATTTCCTTTGTTGAGATTATATAATTTCTTTCCTATAAGATATTATGGTGGTTAAACGAAAACAATTTATAAAAAGTGGTTTTAATTCTGTACCTTTAGAAAACATCTCTGTCTGGTTCTGACACAATTATGTATCATGAAACTTAGCTCCAGGAAAACTGACAAGTAAATGACACTCTACTAATACATCTGTCCACAAGCTGCAAAAGTCTGACATCTTTAACAAGCAATCTCTCTCATCTTATTTTTCTGCTTATAAAAATTAAATACATAACATATGAAGTGAAGTCTCCAGGGATTCTTCTCCCCTAAGATAATCACTGAACTATGGTATGCAGTATAGTATTACAGATTTGACATTTTAATATTTACTGATACACCATTACAGTACTTCTAAAAACTAGCATCATGTGCTACATATTTGTAACTCATTAATAAAAACCCATCCCAGATAATCTGAAAAGGCCCATTGGTAAAAGATTATGAAGTGTTACAGACAAAATTACCAAAAAAGTGAACTTACTAATCTTGAACCGTTAATAGAAACAATAAAGTCAAAAAAAGGCTCCAATCCAGCTCTATGTCCTGGGGAATTTTCTTGTACCTGTAAAAACAAAATACCAAAAATGAAAAATGCAATGTAAGTTAAAAGTAAACACTGCTAAAAGCTAAAAGCAAAAATTGTAAATTTCAATACAGTAGCTATCACTTTTCAGGTAAAAACAGATTAATTTCATTGATAATGAAATATTAGCATAAGGTAATTCTCTAACTTCTCTTTATGTTTTTCCAGATAAATTTTATCTGTTCTTTAAGTTCATCTTCTATATGAGGCTTTTTTCTTCTATGGCTCTATTCCCATACCACTTTCTCCTTTTTTGGCCGGGGGCGGGGTGGGGTGGAGTCCTCCAACTCACTGGCAGATTTAATGGCAAATAGTTAATCATTACCACTGAATGACACATTCTTTCCTTAACTACTAGACTAGCAAGGCACCATTCAGCTACACTACCAGGAACTACGTTAAGACAGTTACAATCTGTTGAGAAACAGACAAGAGGAATTTGGGAGATGGACATGCAGCCCTCTAGTCACTGTATATAAAATCAAACAGGTTAAAGTTATATAATGAGGTTATATGAGGGTCTAAGGGAAGATATGAAGCAGACTAAAATTATGAACTTTTCTAAATTTATACTAATATTAGTACCAGTAATAGAAATATGGACAGTAAAGCAAAAAAGTGAGTAAAATCTACTTTGCATTTTCTTCTCCAAAATATTTTCACAATGGGCTAAGGAATTTCTATTCTGCTTGATGTAATTAAGCAGTGTCAAAACTGTCCTAAAAAAGAGAAAGTTTCCATTGATATTTATAGGCTGATTTTCTTTAATAGTCTAAACAATCATTCACTCATATATGAAGCTGTAGCTATTTATACAATAATAAATCATTTTATTGCTTTCAAAATGCAACACAGGTTGTTTCCGGAACATATTCTTGAATACCAATGCCAATTAGAACTGTTAATTTCTGGATTAATGTTACCTTTTATAATTATTTACTTGAAGCCAAATCATAGTACCATTGCCCTTAAAGAAGAAATAATAGGGTTTCTTCTCTTGCCACAGTAAATAGGTATCCACTACAAGTGGTTTGGTGTTTACCTTACTAAAATTATTTGATCCTGCTTTGTGTATATTTTCCTGCAAATCTGAGACAAAGTTCTTAATAAGTTAAATATCAAATGAATCCATTATTTAAAGTGCTAGTTCTAATAAAATAATCAGAATATATCACTTAGTTTCTTCATCCTCAGTTTTTCTGAAATAGGGGTTATTTCCTATTCCGTGTATTACCAAAAAACTGTCTAGACCCCCAAACAACAGACTTTTACACAGTGGTGGTTGCCTAGAGCTAGTATAAGAAAAGTGAGGTCAAGCTGCAGCTACTAAGGAAGAGTCAAACTACTCCGTGCAAAATGCCTGGCCATTAGGTGGCCCTCAGGTGTGAAAGGGCAGAAATGGCAGAGTCCTAGGAGCCCCACTGAGAGCAGTTTCTCATTTAACAGGGTCCACATCCAATCATCTAATTAAACCTGAATGTTTCCAAATGACCATTAATCGCATTTCATTTAGAACCTAACCAGTTTTTTTTTTTTTTTCTAACCAGCTTATTGATCAACTCTGGACTTCACTGAGGTTGCTAAAAGTTCACTAGTTTAAAAAGACGTAAGATAGCACTTTTGTAATGTCATTAACAAGTTAGAAAGTTGGCCCTCTGTACTGATTCTTATCATGCATTTTTCAAAGTATAAAGTTGAAACTATTTGAACCATCAGAAGTATTATTCCTTAACTCAAAAAAAATTCAATAGTTAAGTTTGAATTCTAAATAAGTAAACTTAAATCATCCTTTCTCCAACTGTTTTTCCATTTTATTTGCTACCAACCCTGATTTCCTTTCTGTTTCTAATGGACCTTGACATTAATGTCTTCCTCAAATTCATTTATATCATTACTAGCAAGCACATTTACGAGAAGTAGATATCTTAATTACCTCTAGGAAACCAGCAGAGGGAGCCCTAGAAAATGCCCTCTGGCGTTAGCACAGTTAACAAGAACTTTCCCATATTTCATACTACAGAAAATAAGATATATAGCACAGCAAGTAAACATCTACACAGGAAAGTTTCTCTTGCAATATTATCTACTGACAAGAATCTCTTAGGTACCCAACCTCCCTGGCATCAGATTACTACTTCAATGCTTTCTGTCTCCTGTAAGATCTCTTGATGGTTAATCTATCTTCCTTATCCTTTAAACTTCTTAAAGTCTGTATGTACTTGGCTCCATAGGCATTTATCATGTATTACTGGGCCAAGTACCACAGTAATTTAAGTGAACAGGTTAAATTTGAAAATTTGGAAATCTTTAAGATATTATAATAAAAATGTACAGTGAAAAGATAATAGTTTTGGAGTAGACTGACTTGGTTTTAAGCCATGGTTTTGCCCATTTATTAGCTGTGTGAGCTTGGGAAAGTTTACCTCCCTGGGTTTTGGTTTCATCATTTCAAGTAAGGGATAATGTCATCTACTTTACAAGAATATTGTAAAGTTTCAATGAGTTAAAGTTCATGAAAGGCCTAGCTAATCTCATATACTATGACAGGAGCCCTACAAATCCTAAACTCGTTTTCCTACTTCTGCCACCAACAGCCAAGAATACACATTTTTAACCAACCAATACTTGGATACTAGGCTATTTTTCTGAATGTTTTTAAATACCTCTTAGTCTTTTTGTTTTGTTTTTTGAGACAGGGTCTCACTATGTAGTTCAGGCTGGCCTTGAACTCACTATGTATGTAGTTTAAGCTGGCCTTGAACTCATGGAGATATTTCTGCCTCAGCCTCCCAAGTGCTGGAATTACAGGCATATGCCACCATGCTCAGCCTCTCTTATTCTTTAAAAAAAGAAAAAAAGAAAAAAAACTAGTCAACTGGAAAGAGGAGATGAATGTTGCTTCACAAAAATCAATTCTCTTTTTTTTTTTTCGATACCGGGGATTGAATTCAGGACCTTGCACTTGCAAGGCAGGCATGGTGCCACTGAACTAAATCCCCAGCCCTCAAAAATCAATTCTAAATGGATGGCAGATGTAATGGTTAAAACTTCTGGAGAAAAACAAAAAAAAATCTTAGACCTTCAAGAATGCAGACTTCCTAAAATGGACACAAAAAGGACTCATTATCAAATAAAAAAGTTGATGAACTGCACTATATTAAAACTAAGAACTTCTGATCATCAAAAGGAGATGAGCAATTAAGAGAGTAAAAGATACTTATCCAACAAAGTATCTGTATTCAGAGGAAATCTCACATTATTAAGAATAGACAAGCCGGGCATGGTGGTGCATTCCTGTAACCCCAACATTCTAGGAGGCTGAGGCACAAAAATGGCAAGCTTGAGGCCTGCTCAGGCAACTTAGTGACTTAGCAAGACCCTGCTTCAAAATAAAAAATGAAAAAGGGCTTCAGACATAGCTTAGCTTGAAGGGCCCCAGTACCAAATAAATAAATAACAATAAAACCACAATGAGATACTATTTATCCACTAGAATATCAAAATAAAAAAGACAGTAACAAGTATTGGCAAGGACGCAGAGAAATTGGAACCTTCATACACTGCTGGTGGGAATGTGAACTGCAGTAGTTGCTGTGGAGAATAGCTTGGCAAACTGTCAAAATGTTAAACATGAAGTTATCATATGACTCAGCAATTCCACTCCTAACATACAACCAAGAGAAATAAATATACACTTCACACAAAAACTTGTGTACAAATTTCAGAACAGCATTGTTGATAATAGTTAAAAAGCAGAAAGAATCCAAATATCTCTCAACTGATGAATGCATAAACAAAATGTGTTATATCCATAAAAGGGAATAAAGTACTTTATCTATGTACTGTGACACAAATGAACCTTCAAAATATGCTAAGTGAAAGAAGCCAATCACAAAAGACCACATAAGTATTTATGATTCTATTTGTATGAAATGTCCAAAACAGACAAATTCATACGGCTTGTGGGCAGAGGAAGGGGCATCTTTTCTAATGGAGATGGGTTTCTTTCTGGAATAAGAAGCACTGGAATTAGATGGTAGTGATAGCTATACAACTCTGTGAATGTTCTAAAGACCTACAAACTGTACACTTTAAAAGACTGAATTTTATGGTATGCAAATTATATTGCAATAAAATTGCTTAAAAAAGAGACAATGGGGCAAAGATTTTAGCAGACACTCTGAGGCTATCAAGTGACCAATAAATATGAAAATATGATCAATTATAATGGGCATGAAGGAAATGCACACTAAACCCACAATGTAATAACATTACACACCTATCAGGAATGTCCAAAATGAGAAAGATGGGTTGGTCTGGTGGCACACATATTTAATTCCAGTTTCTCAGAAGACCAAGGCAGAAGGACTGCAAGATCATGGCCAGCCTGAGGAATTTTGCAAGACTGTCTCAAAGGGAAAAGAAGAGGGGGGCAGGCTGGGGATGCAGCTCAGTGGTAGAGTGCACCTGCTAGCAGGCCCAAGGTCCAGGGTTCCATTCCCAGTACTGGGAACAAAATAAAAACATGCTCCTGCCAAAAAATCAAAACATAAAAAAATAAAATGAGGAAAGTGGAAAATTTTAAGGGCTAGCGAAGATATGGAACATTAACACTGCTGGTGGGAATATAAATTAGTAAACTAATAATATCTATTAATATTGAAAATATACATACCTTTTCAACCAATATTGTACCCCTAAGTGTACACCACTATAGAAATGTGTACATACATTCTCCAAAAGACATACAGTATAATATTCATAGCAGTGCTATGCTACGCTATTTGTAATAGCCCCCAATGGAAAACTATACAAATACCTATTAATAGCAGATTCAAAGGTGAATAAATGTTGGTACAATCTCTCAATGGTATCATATACTTTAATGAAAAGTCTATATGGGGCCGGGGATTTAGCTCAGTGGTTTCGCTGTCTGCTGTGCAAGTACAAGGACCCGAGTTCGATCCCCAGTGCCAAAAAAAAAAAAAGTCTATAATCTCACAAGCAATATTTGAGCAAAAGAAGCCAGATAAAAATGAAATGTATATATTACATGGTTCCATTTATATAAAGTATAAGAACAGGCCACCCTAAGTCAATGCATCTAGAAATCAGGATCACAGACAGTATTTTCCCTGGTTGAGGTGGTACAGAAAAGGGATCAAATCCTGGTTACGGGAACCAGTTGTTTGTAAAGATTCACCAAGTCTTGACAAATGGGTTCTCTTTTAATATAAAAAGTTTTAAGATAGACTTTCTCTACCTAAAAAGTAGATATGAAATTACTAAAAGAATACACCCCACACTTCACCTGTGTAGAGCACTTTGAAAACCTGCAATCGAGTGAAAAAGGAGCAGTCAATATAAAGGCCACAGAATGACCTGTTTTAATGCTCATTCTTCTTTATAAGGACACATCAGGACCATTCTTGGACCCTGTTTATATTTTCATAATTTACCTATCTGATTTCCAGGTCACTAACAGCCAAAAGAACTGAAAGAGAAAAAACTGCTAATGCCATTTAATAGTGAGTACTCGTGAGCTTATGAAAACAAAAGATGTAACTGTGATAGTATCTTACAGGGAACACAAAGACCAAAATCTCCAAAGTTGTTTATAGACCATTTTGTGGTGATGAAAATGTTCTGTATGTGTGCTGTCCAATAGGGTAGCCACTAGTCACATGTGACCACAAAGCATTGGAAATGTGGCTGGTGTAACCGAGGAACTGAAATTTTTAATTAATTTACATTTAAGTTAAAACAGTCACATGTGGCTTGAGGTCCTGGATTAGAAAACATAAGTGTACACGATAGCTTATATAATTTGTGTTCCAACACGGAACATTAATTGATGGTCATAATGACAAGACACAAGGAGGTTAAATTATATTCAGTTCCTATCTACGCTGGGGAAAATGTATTTTAAACACAGATTATCAAGAAGCTAGGTGAAGTTACATACTTTATGATTCCAACTATGTGCCATTCTGGAAAAGGCAAAACTATGGAAACAGGAAAAATACCAGTGGTTTCTGGGGCTCAGGGGGTTGGAGAGGGATGACTAGGTTGTGCAGAAAGGAGGACAAGGCAGTGCAACTTCTGTGTATGATGCTACAATGGTGGGCATGTCCTTATAAATTTGCCCAAGCCCAAAGAATGTACGACACCAAAAGTGAACCCTTAGTTCACAAGACTGTAAATGATGGACCTTGGATGACAATGATGTGAGGTAGGTTCATGAACAGCAACAAATGTACCACTCTGGGAGGGTGGTAGGGAGGCTGTACGTATGTTGATGAGGGGGCACGTGGGAAATCTCTGTACCTTCTGCTCAATTTTCCTGTGAATCTAAAAAATGTTCTGAAAAATAGTCTTATTAAAAAAGGATTTTCAGGGCCAGGAATTTAGCTCAGTGGTTTCGCCACTTGCTGCGCAAGCGCAAGGACCCAAGTTCAATCCCCGGTACCAAAAAAAATAAAAAAATAAAAAAATAATAAAAAAAGGAT